ATGAATGGGGTGTTGTGACTTTGTAAGTTTGCTGGCTGATGTGTGGCGAATATGTTGCAGTGTGTGTATGTGTATATGTATGCATGTGCAGGAATGTTGTGCGTGGCAGTGTGTGTGTTATATGTGGTTGTGTGCAAATGTGTCGGCATATATGGTGGTGTGGGTGTTGTGTGCTAGTGCGGATATGCGATTTGTCAATGGTAGGGCTATGTATGTGCATGGTTTTGAATGGGTTTGTATGTGATGATGTATGTGTGAGCACACATGTATGGGTGGGTTTGGACATGTTCAGTATTATGTGGTTATGGGGCATTGAGGTACTGCTGGGTTGGATAGAAGGACCCCAATGCAATGCGGCGGGGGGGGGATTTTTGGAACCCTGAAGGAGAAACTCTGGGGATCCTGAAGCAAGAGGACCCTGATGATGAGTGTTTAGGGGGATGCTGGGGACCCGGATTTAATGCGGGGGAACTCTGGGGACCTTGATGTAAGGAGTCTTTGGGGACCCTGATTTAATGGGGAAACTCTTAGAAACCTAAAGGGAAGAAAAACTCTAGGGACCCTGATGCAAAGGGAGGGACTCTGGGAACCCTGATTTAATGTGGGGGAACTTTGGAGACCCTGATGTAAGTATGGGGGGTCCTTGGGGATCCTGATTTAATGAGGGGACTTTGGGGACCCTGATGTAAACGGGGTGGGACCCCAGTGTAAGGGGTTGACTGGTGACTGATGTAAATGTGGCAGCCTCTGGGAACTCAGATTTAATGGGGTGCTCTTGGGACCCTAATGTAATGGGGGAGAACTCTTTGGACCCTGAAATAAGGGGGAGGGGACTCTGGGGATCCTGATGTAAGAAGGAGGGGGGCTCTGACGTAAGGGGGGACTTTGGGAACCCTGATGTGTTTAGTCAGTGGTTGCTAAAAGCAATAGCTAGTGAAGGTGCATCAATGGGGCTGATCTGAGGTGTAACGGTGAAGGAAGTGGGACCGACCGACCTGAGAGGGGGGGGGGGGTGCAGGAAGTGGGACTGACCTGAGGGGTGGGGGGGAGATGCAGGAAGAGGGGCAATCTAAAGAAGTCCTTGGTTGGCATATTCATTTCAACCTCACCGCACTTGCCTCTCAACACAGGTCTTTTGAAACAAGTGCAATGTTAATTTCAAATAGTTTTTGTCATTGAGAGTCTGAAGTTAAAGCGGAGTTCCACTCGACCTATCAAAAAAAAAAAAAAAAAAAAAAATCAGCAGCTACAAAAACTGTAGCTGCTGACTTTTAAAAAAACAGCCACTTACCTATCCCTTGGTGTGTCCCCTGCAGCTCGTTTCACCGGCCGTCCTGTATTCCAGGAGGCCGGCATCTTCACCGTGGGCACCCAGCTGTGATAGCTTGCATGTTCACCTCCGGGTACCCACTGCGCATGCGCGAGTAGCGCTGCGATTTGTGAATGGTCCTGTAGTCTTCTGGGACCTGTCATGTGTCCCAAAAGACTACAGGGAGGGAGGGCACCTTCTGTTTCGATCGCCTAGGCCAGGGGTCTGCAACCTTTAAGACATAAAGAGCCACTTGGACCCGTTTCCGAGAGGGAAAAAAAGACTGGGAGCCGCAAAACCATTGCAACATTTAAAACAAATCCGACACTGCATATATTGCAAAAAGCGCTCTGGCCATGAAGGGGGTTTAAGGGCCCAGTAAGCAAAGGGTTAACCAGGGCCACAGTGTATCGTCATAATCACAATCATAGCCTTAGGTCAGTGGTGGGCAACCTTTTTTTTCAACTGAGCCAAATCTCGCCAAAACCACGATTGAAATTTATTTTGAGAGAAACATTTTTAAAACTGAAAATACATCCCCCATATAGTAATTCATCCCCCATATAGTAATTAATTCATCCCCCTATAGTAATTCATCCCCCCTATAGTAATTCATCCCCCCTGTGTCAATTCACTTACCTTTGCTCCGCGCGTTCCTCTAGCTGTGTTCCCGCGCCGTTCTGGTCTTCAGGGCGGACTGTGAGAGGAGAGGAGTTCGTCACGCTGCCCCGCCTACATCCTGACAGCCAATGTTTGGAGGAGGGAGGGGAGCGGGCGCCCGGCACATAGAAGAGCTGCATTAAAAGAGCCGCGGCTTGCCGACCCTATTGCCTGTCACCTGGTGGGCAGTGTGCTCCGGAGCCGCAGGAAAGGTGAAAAAGAGCTGCATGCGGCTCCGGAGCCGCGGGTTGCCGACACCCGGCCTAGGCGATCGGACCGGAAGTGGGAGCGGGTACCTGTCAAATTCGGGTACCCACTCCCCAAAGGTGCCAATCCTTAATGGGGAGCGGGGGAACAGTCCTTTTGGGTGGAGCTCCGCTTTAACTTTTTTTGTTATACAACCGGCACTCTCAATTTTTCTTTTTAAAAATTTCTCGGCACACTGTGCTCAAAAAGTTGCCTACCCCTGCCCTACAGTGTCCTCTGAGAGTAGCTTCCCTTTGACTGACGATATTCTAGTCACCTTTTTTCTTTTGTATTAATACATTGGCTGCAGGGACTGCACTGACTTCATGAATTTGCATATTTCTAAGGTATAAACCATTTTAACAGTTTATTAGTAACAAAAACTGACAGGGGTTCTAATTATTCTCCACTATCTCACTGGATATTGTATGAAATAAAATACCGCATGGTTTCAGGAAATAAATACTGCCTATTTCGGAAAAATACAGCATGTGGTATTTTAGATGCTTTTTTTGTGAATACCAAAAAAAACTTTGAGAAAGTTTTGTGAATGGAGCCCACTGTATCTTAACTTGTACCTACAGGTAGAGCTTACAATCAGGCTTACCTGGAAGTACAATGAATATCTTCTAAAATGTGCACAGTTTAGAAGATATCCACATTGGCAGTAGCTGATAACTTCACCTGTGCATGCGCTGTGATGCTCTGAATGCCTGCTCCGGTGGTGTGACAGTTCTTAAATATGTAAGAGGTGGGGCCACCCGTGGACATCACGCATGTGACCCAGCTAAAAGAAAGGTTTTATTTTAGTTTGAGTTAAGAGAAATAATGTTTCCTTTTAGCTTCTTAAAAGAAACAAAGTTTCCGTTAACTCCGGGGAAAGTGACAGCGAATTCTGAGCTATAGTGAAGAAGAAAAAAAGCCAACAATTGAATTTAAAAATCACCACTGACATACACTTCGTATTGCGAAAAAAAAATGTGTAAACCAAGGCATTATCAATGGATTTTCTTCGGTAAAAAATTGAAGATTACATTAACCGAGGTGTTTATAAACCGAGGTATTACTGTACTGGAAGTTTTATTTTTATTATACTAGCAATGGTGGCGATCAGCGAGTTAGGGCTCGTTCACACTTGGCTGTTTTCCCAACGCCCCTATAGCGTTTGGCAAGCGTTGGTCCGGCATTTGCGGAGCGTTTTTAAACACTTGGCAAACTCTCCGCAAACGCCACATGCGCGGTTTAGCGGCGGTTGCCGAGCGTTAAAAACGCCCCACAAACATCTATAATGCAGTTTGAATGGTGTTACCGCTCCGCAAACGCCCTGCAACCGTGACGCAACCGCACCGCAAACGCCAGCCGGGCGTTTGCGGAGCGGCACCATAGACTAGAATAGGAGGCTTCAACGCCTCCTGACTCAACCACAGGGCGTCCGTTTTGCCGCGACGCAAACGCTCCCGTTAGAACAGAACCATGTGCTGTAATGTGCAGAATTGGCAAAGGCGTTTGGGAAGAGGTAAAAACGCTTCCCAAACGTCTCTCTGCCGCCTGCACACAACGCTAGTGTGAATGTAGCCTTATAGTGGGACTGCAGTGGGCATTCTGACACTGGGTGGTAACTAACTGCCACCGACACCAATACAGTGATGAGTGCTAATAAAAAGCACTGACACTGTACTAATAACACTGGGCAGGAAGGGGTTAACATCTGGGGACATCAAAGGGTTAACTGTGTGCATTTCACATGTCCTGTTTTACAATGGAGCCATGCTGCTTTGTATTTCTGTTGTGCAGAGATATACAACGCAGCATTTCCTTGCTGACAGGAGAGAGATCTGTGTTTATAGACAGATCTCTCCCGTCAGCTTCCCCCAACAATCACTGAGTGCCGGCGGGGAAATCGCTGGCAGGGACCCAGTGATTGACATCTCTAGCCGCCAATGGTGGAATGGGTAGGATGGCACACATACCCCCTACCCGGAACTGCAAATCTCACTATATATATATATATATATATATATATATATATATATATATATATATATATATATATATATACACACACATACACACACACATATATATATATATATACATACACACATACACACACACACGTGATTCTGTGCAGACCTGTAGCAGTACTTCTACTACAGGGCTGCGGGCAAGCGGTTAAATTGTGGGTGCAGGGAGAAGATCCCCTACCCGCTGTCAGAGGGGAATCAGAGCTTGCTGCCCAGTAACATGTTACACCCTAAATATAAGTAACATAATACTGAAGGTGAAATGTGCCTTTAGTATTCAGCTGGTGTGTTAATTTGGAGGCATTGATCCAGTTCTGGGTGCAGTGAAGTAGATGTGAAGCTAGGCCTTAATGGATGTTATTGCTGTGTGGTCACAGCCAACGTGCTCCCTGCCACCAGCCTGCATGGTTTCATGGACAATCGATTGAATGGGGTTTAGTTGCTCAATTCATAATCCACTCCTACACAAAGGTAGGTACATATCACTATGCATGAACCGTCCGTAATCCAGGGCACATAGCCAGTGTTTAGGACTCCATGATTAGAGATCACAGTTCATGGCCAGTAGACACAGCAATTTCCTGACAGCCTGAACGACACTGAGCGACCTAACGTAACAAGCCATGGGACAGGCTGGCCAATCACAAACCACACACGCCCTATGCCCACACTTTCATAGTAGGTGGCAGCGAATGTAGACTCTGGCGAGCCTTAAACGATCTACTTTAGCAAGGGAACGTACATAGTGTCATGTTATTTACCTGAGTCCCCTTACCGGCTCCGGGCGGCCCCAGAAGGATGGCCCTAATACCGTCCATGACGGAACCGCGCTCCGTGCCCTCTCTGGGAGCCATATTTCACACTAAGCAGCCGCCGTAAGCGTCCCTGCCACCTTCACACACTCAAAGACAGGCCCGCCCAGTTCACAACATAATTGGACAGGTTGACTGCGTGACTTTTGAAAAGAAGCCCTATTGGATAAAGAGCGTGTCAATCACAAACCATATTCGGTCAACAAAAAGGTCATTGGACAGTCGCGAGGTTTGTGGGTTGTACTATAAAGGCGGGAAGCGGAAGATCGCCAAGGTGTCCCGGTGTAGGGTAACACGTGGCTGTCATAAGGCGTGGCTTGTCCGTCAAAATGTCACCTTGTGAAATGTGAGCGTATATGACTCGGAGAGGGTGGGACATGGCATGTCATGATCCATGGAGCGTAGTCATAGTCTGATACACCATCTGTAGTTGTCACCTGAGGCTTGGAATGGCTGACAATCTTTGTATTATCTTATGGTACGATGGTGACTCTCAGGTGTTTTCTGTCAGTGTGTGCCGTACTTTAGGACTGGGGTTGCCACCTCATCCCTTTCACCACTTGCCCTCAAGAGGATTTACCCCCTTCCCAGCCAGCCATTTTTTTTGCTGTTGGGCACTGTGCTCTTTCAACTGGTAATTGCATGGTTGTAAAACAAAATGTATGTCCTTTTTTTTCCACACAAGTAGAGCTTTCTTTTGGTGTATTTGAGCACCTTTTGCGGTTTTTATTTTTTTGCGCCATAAACGAAAGACAGAAAATGTTCAAAAAAACTATATTTTTCACTTTTGGTTATAAATTAAATCCAATAAACTTAAAGTTAGTCATAAATGTAGGCTAAAATGTATTCTGCTACATGTCTGGTAAAAAAAAATCCCAATATGTGTATATTGATCGGTTTGTGTGAAAGTTATAGCGTCTACAAACTATGGTATAGATACTGGAATTTACACAGCTTTTACTTTCTGACTACCTATCACATTTCTTGAGGTGCTAAAATGCCAGAGCAGTATAAACACCCTCCAATGACCCCTTCTTGGAAAGCAGACCCTAAGCTATTTGCTGGGAGGCATGTTGAGTCCATGGAAGATTTATTTTTTTCACAATTTTTTGCAAAATTGCAAAAAAAAGGGTTTTTTTTTTGGAATTGCACCCCAAAATACATTCTGCTACTTCTACTGAGTATGGTGATACCACATGTGTAAGACTTTTTGGGAGCCTAGCCACATACAGGAGATCCAAATTAACCCTTTGAAAGCCTGAAGGTGCGCTACTTCCGCATTTCACTTCCTCACTACCAATCACAATTTCAGAGGCCCTGAAATGCCAGGATGGCATAACCCCCCCCCCAAACATGACCCCTTTTTGGAAAGTAGACACCCAAAGGAATAGAATAAGAGGCATTGTGCATCTCGTTTGTTTCTCACAAGATTTTGAAAATAAAAAACAAAAGAAAAAAATATGGGGTGGCGCAGTGGATAAGTGGTTAGCACATCTGCCAAAGCAGTAAATGGGTCATGGGTTCGATTCCTGACCATGGCACCTCTTGCATAGAGTTTGCATGTTCTCGCTGTGTTTGCATGGGTTTCCTCCTAAAACTCCAAAGATATGCTTAAGGGTAAAAATTGTCCTAGTTTCATCCCTGGCCATGCAGGATCTCCTGCATGGTAGAGGTTGGGGAAAAGACCTGGCAACCTACCCTGTAAAAGAAAAAATAAGTTTTCATTTTTTTTTTCATTTTTTCCAAAAACTTCTGGCAACAAACAAGATCTACAAAATACTCACCACGCCTCTTATCAAATTCCTTGGGGTGTCTACTTTGCAAAAAGGGTCATTTACACGGCTTTTACTTTCTGACTGCCCAACACATTTCTTGAGGTGCTAAAATGCCAGGGCAGTACCAGTACACCCTGCCCCCTCCCAAATGACCCCTTTTTGGAAAGTAGACATCCAAAGGATTTTGCAGAGAGGCATGTTGAGTCCATGGAACATTTTATTGTTTGCCACAAATTTTTTGAATATGACTTTTTTTTTTTTTCACACAAAGTTGCCATTTTAATGAAATATTGCTCATGCATGCCATGGGTATACAGTTGCAAGAAAAAGTATGTGAACCCCTTTGGATTACGTGGAGTTTTGCATGAATTGGGCATAAAATGTGCTCTGAACGTCATCTAAGTCACAACAATAGAAGAACACAGTCTGCTGAACATAATACTACACAAACATTAGATGTTGCCATGGTTTAATTGCACATAACATGTAAACATTCACAGTGCAGGGAGGAAAAAGTATGTGAACCTTTGGACTTAATAACTGGTTGACCCTCCTTCGGCAGCAATAACCTCAACCAAACGTTTCCTGTAGTTGCAGATCAGACCTGCACAACGATCTGGAGTAATTTTGGACCACTCCTCTTCACAAAACTGTTTCAGTGTAGCAATATTCTTGGGATGTTTGGTGTGAATCGCTCTCTTTAGGTCATGCCACAGCATTTCAATCGGGTTGAGGTCAGGACTCTGACTGGGCCACTCCAGAAGGCGTATATCTGTGCTGTTGCAGCCATTGTTTTGTTGAATTACTTGTATGCTTTGGGTCATTGTCCTGTTGCATCACCCATCCTCTGCAGAGCTTCAGTTGGCGGACAGATGGTCGTACGTTTTCCTGCAAAATGTCTTGATACACTCTGGAATTCATTTTCCCATCAATGACAACAATCCATCCAGGCCCTGAGGCAGCAAAGCAGCCCCAAACCATGATGCTCCCTCCGCCATGTTTTACAGTGGGGATGAGGTTTTGATGTTGGTGTGCTGTGCCTTTTTTTCTCCACACATAGTGTTGTGTGTTCTTCCCAAACAACTCAATCTTGGTTTCATCTGTCCACAGTATATTTTGCCAGTAGTGCTGTGGAACATCCAGGTGCTCTTTTGCAAACTTCAAACGTGCTGCAATATTCTTTTTGGACAGCAATGGCTTCCTCCGTGGTGTCCTCCCATGTACTCCATTCTTGTTTAATGTTTTCCTTATTGTAGATGTGTCAACAAAAATGTTAGCATGTGCCAGAGATTTCTGTAGGTCTTTAGCTGACACTCTGGGATTCTTCTTTACCTCATGCAGCATTCTGCGCTGTGCTCTTGCAGTCATTTTTACAGGACGACCGCGCCTAGGGAGAGTTAGCAACAGTGCTAAACTTTCTCCCATTTGTAGACAGTCTGTCTTACCATGGACACATGAACATCAAGGCTTTTGTAGATACTTTTGTAACCCTTTCCAGCTTCATGCAAGTCAACAATTCTTGATCGTAGGTCTTCTGATAGCTCTTTTCTGCGAGGCATGGTTCACATCAGACAGTGCTTCTTGAAACCAGTAAACCCAAAACAGGTGTGTGTTTTTTAAGGGCAGGACAGCTGTCAGCAACACATCCAATATCATCACACTGATTGGAGTCAAGGTTGGCTCACTCCTGGCTCCAATTAGCTCTGGGAGAAGTCATTAAGCTAGGGCTTCACATACTTTTTCCTCCCTGCACTGTGAATGTTTACATGTTATGTGCAATTAAACCATGGCAACATCTAATGTTTGTGTAGTATTATGTTCAGCAGACTGTGTTCTTCTATTGTTGTGACTTAGATGACATTCAGAGCACATTTTATGCCCAATTCATGCAAAACTCCATGTAATCCCAAGGGGTTCACATACTTTTTCTTGCAACTGTATTTTGATAGATTTGGTAAAATGCCTATTCAGTTTCCTGTTTAAAATATACATTTTATATATATATTTACTTTTATATTTTTTTCATATTTCTAAATATATGTGTTGTGCGTATATATTTTGTCTGCTGGGCTTTGCAGTCCTCCTTGTTTGTTCAGAGCGATGTTCTCAACCCCTCCCTTCGAGCTGTGAGGATCTTATACTTGGGCTTTAAAAAATGTGAGGGGGACAATAGATAACGGGCGAGAAGCAAGCATCAAGCTTCTGCACTTCTCTCATATTTCAGCCAAGGAAAATGTGCCTTTTAGAATGTGACTATTTACATAATAGTGACGTATACCCTATTGTTCTCATTGTATAAAAGGTTAGGTACTGCCCTGCAATAAACAGAGATGATGTGAAAGTGGTTGTCCTGGACAGTTGTCCGTGTAATTATATTCCGGCGTGTACGCAATCCATATCTCAAAATTAGGAGCAGCAGCAGACATTCAACCCTGAGCCCGATTGTGGTTCCCAAAACCTTTTTATTATGTGGAATAACCCCCCAAAACACATTCTCCTACTTCTGAGTATGGGGATACCACATGTGAGAGACTTTTTGGCAGCCTATCTACATACAAGCCCCCAACATCCAATGGCCACCTCCAGGCTTTCAAAGGGCATATTTCCTCATATCACTTCCCCACTACCTGTCAGAGTTTTGGAGGCTCTAAAATGCCAGGGTGGTACAAACAACCCCCCCCCCCCTCTGTCAAATGATCCTTTTTTGGAAAGTAGACAGCCCAAGGAATTTGCTAAGAGGCATGGTGAGTATTTTACAGATATCATTTTTGTCACAGGGTTTTGAAAAAAGGGTTTTCCAAAAACGTGGCAACAAATTAGATCTCCAAAACACTCACCATGCCTCGTAGCAAATACCTTGGAGTGTCTACTTTCCAAAAAGGGGTCATTTGGAGCGGTTGCTTCTACTATCCTGGCATTTCAGGGCAAACATTAGAAGCTTATGCCACACATCACCCACTCTTGAAGACCAAGCTTTTTCTGACACTTTGTTCACATGAAAAAAACATTTTTTTTTAATGCTAGAAAATTACTTTGAACCCCCAAACATTCTATATTTTTTTTAAAGCAGAGGCCCTAGAGGATAAAACGGTGGGTGTTGAAATTGTTTATGTCACACAGTATTTTTCGCGCAAAAACAAAATGCATTATTGAATTTTAATGCCCAATTGCCCAATTGTTTGATAAAATATAAAAGATGTTACGCTGAGTAAATAGATACAAAACATGACATGCTTTAAAATTGCGCATGCCGTGCAATGGCGACAAAGTACATCCATTTTTATTATCGATAGGCGATGCTTTAAAAGCCTTTACAGGTCACGAATTTATATTTACACAGGAGGTCTAGTGCTAGAATTACTGCCCTCGATCTGACGTTTGTGGCAATACCTCACATGCATGGTGCAACCGCTGCTTACATACCGGCATGGGGTCAATGCTTGTGCACGCAGGTGGGCAAGAGTGCTTTTTATTTTTTTTATAGTTATTTTTAATTTATTTTTACACTGTCCTTTTCATTTTTTTTAATCACTTTTAATGCTATCACAGGGAATGCAAATATTCCCTATAATTTCAATGGGCATTGTATTCTTTTTTGAGAAATCTGGGGTCTATCAGACTCTAGATATCTCCTCTGTCCTTACATTATCTAATCTCACCAAGATCGGTCTGATCAGATGCTTTCCCAATGTACAAATGGCGCTTTTTATATCCTGTGAAACTGAAGTGATGAAATGCTAGTAGCTTCCAATTTCTTAGACTATAGAGATGATTGAAGCCATTCTGGTCTCTGACCAGCTCTATGGTCAGCCAGCGTAACTTCCGGCTGCATTCTCAGATTCCCCTGTGGGACAAGAGAGCCCAAGAAAACTGGAAGGCAGCAGGAGGGGGGATATCCCATCCCACTGCTCGTAAAAACAATTCAGCAGCTAATTGGCCACTAGGATTGTTTTTATATGAAAGCCAACCGCCAGCTGAAAAAAAACAATACCAGGATGATGCCTGTAGCTGTATAACCACTCAAAGTCCAGCGACGTACCAGTACATTGCTGGTCCATATTGGGCATACAGTTAGGTCCATATATATTTGGACACAGGCACAATTATAGATTTTTTCAGGTATTTACCAAAATACAGTATATTCAAGCTATAGTTATATAATGAATATGGGCTGAAAGTGCACACTCTCAGGTTTAATTTGAGGGTATGTACATCCAAATTGGAGGAGGGTTTAGGAATTACAATTCTTAAGAGTAGCCACCCCCCCTTTTTAAGGGACCAAAAGTAATTGGACAAATTAATATAATCATAAATAAAATGTTCATTTTTAATACTTTATTGAGAATCCTTTACTGGCAATGACTGCCTGATGTCTGGAACCCATGGACATTACCAAAGACTGGGTTTCCTCCTTTGTGATGCTTTGCCAGGCTCTAACTGCAGCTGTCTTGAGTTGTTCTTTGTTTGTGGGTCTTTCTGCCTTTAGTTTTGCCTTCAGCAAGTGAAATGCATGCTCAATTGGGTTGAGATCAGGTGATTGACCTGACCATTGCAGAAAATTCCACTTCTTTTCCTTCAAAAGCTCCTGGGTTGCTTTTGCAGTGTGTTTTGGATCATTGTCCATTTGTATTGTGAAGCGCCGTCCAATCAACTTTGCTGCATTTGGCTGAATCTGGGCTGACAGTATATCTCTAAACACTACAGAATTCATCCAGCTGCTTCTGTCACATCATCAATAAACCGCAATGAACCAGTGCCACTGGAAGCCATGCATGCTCATGCCATCACACTGGCTCTACTATGTTTTACAGATGATGTGTGCTTTGGATCATGAGCTGTTCAAAGCCTTCTCACACATTTTTCTTCCTGCCATTCTGGTACAGATTAATCTTCATTTCATCCGTCCAAAGAATGCTTTTCCAGAACTGGTCTGGATTTTTTAGATGTTTTTTGGCAAAGTCTAAGCTGACTTTTCTATTCTTCAGGCTTATGAATGGTTTTCACCTTGTGGTGAACTCTCTGTATTTGCTCTCGTGAAGTCTTCTCTTGATTGTAGATTTTGACAATGATACGCCCACCTCCTGGAGAGTGTCCTTCACTTGTCTGGATGTTGTGAATGGGTTTTTCTTTACCATAGAGAGCATCCTGCGATCATCCACCACTGTTGTCTTCCACGGACGTCCATGCCTTTTTATGTTGCTGAGCTCACCAGTGCATTCTTCTTTCCTCAGAATGTACCAAACTGTTGATTTGGCCACTGCTATATCGCTGCTATCTTTCTGATGGATTTTTTTAGTTTTTGAAGTCTTACAATGGCCTCTTTCACTTGCATGGACAGCTCCTTTGAACGCATGATGTAGGTTGACAGCAATAGATTCCAAATGCAAATACCACACTTACAATCAACTCCAGACCTTTTACCTGCTTAATTGATGAAGAAATAACAAAGGAGTAACCCATACCTGGCCATGAAACAGCTTTTGATTCAATTGTCCAATTACTTTTGGTCTGTTGATAAAGGGGGGATGGCTACTCTTAAGAGCTGTAATTCCTAAACCCTTCCTCTAATTTGTATGTACATACCCTCAAATTAAACCTGAGAGTGTGCACGTTCAGCCCATATCCATTATATAACTATAATAACTGAATATGTTTTGGTAAATACCTGAAAAAAACTAAAATTATGCCTGTGTCAAAATATATATGGACCTAACTGTATATGTAACAGCAGAGAACACGGGCATATGATGAATTGGCTCTGTGGATTAACATGACCGCAATTCATTCTTTTCTGTAATGCCCATGTTGAGGGTTAGCCTCAAAAGAGTTTTAAATTCAGAAACCGCGATAGGTGTCCATATGAATTGTCTGGCAAGAGCTGAATTTAGGTGGGTGGCCATGTATTTTTGTGCGTATAAATTGCCTTGGCCCACAATCAATTGATACAAATCTTCTATGAAAAACAGTAGAGGGGCTAAATGCTAGTGCTGGCAGTGGACGGGACCGATCCTGCTAACTCTGCGTTTTTGTGGACACGATACAAACGAGGCACTAGTATGGTTCTGTTCATTATCAATATATTGATCCGTACAAACACTAAACTAGTAATGGTGGTGATCATTGACCTATAGCGTGACTGCGATAGTGTGCGGGCAATCTAACGCTAGCCGACCCTGGCTGGGAGGGACGCTTACTGACCCTGACGCTAGCTGATGTCACTAGTGGCAGGAATGCAGTGATTAGTGAAAAATTCTATATACTGACACTGTACTAATGGCACTGGCTGGGTGATCAAAGGGTTAATAGGGGCGATCAAAAGGTAAACGTGCTAATCTAACGCATGCGTGAAAAATGTAGTGATGCTTTTACTCGGTGCAGTGTTCACTCTTCTCTCCCTGGACCAATGGGTGGGGGGGGGGGCAGTGGGGGGCTCAGGTGCGTCCACACCCCAAAATAGGAAGCAAGGCATGATTATGTTGCTTTGCCAAGAGCAGCTGCTTGCTTGCAAAATGCGGGTAAGCGGTTTGCAAGTAGTTGGAAAAAAAAAAAAAACCTTAAAAAAAACGTAAAAAATTATTCTTAATATGGTGGGGTTTTTTTTTTTTACATTTTTTATTATTTTTTTTAATGCTTTTATCAGATTAGTACAATGTTACCATAGTAACGTACTACTGTGTGTGGGGGTGATCAGGGATTTTTTTTTTTTTTTTTACACTTTGCTTTGCAGGAGCAATAAAGATCATGCAATGCATAGCTTGCTGTCAGAACATAACTCATTCATGAACTGTCATGAATGAGTTAAGTTTTGACAGCTCAGGATAGTGATCTGTGCTTGTCTAGAGCTGGTCACATGGTACAGGGTGCTGTGATTGGCCCCATGTATCGTGACAGCTTTGGGCCAATCACAGCTCACTAAGAAGAGAAGCAGAACTGTTATGAATGACATTGATTCATAACAGCTTTGCTTACATAATGATCATGTGATTGCATAGCGATCACATGATCACTGGGTCCCATTCACTGGGATCTTCATTCCGCTGTGTCCGCTAGACACAGCAGTCACGGGGGGGGGGGGGGGGGGGGGGGGGGGAGGGGGGTGTCCCTTGTGTTAGTACAGCCAGAACCACGTACGGGTACGTCACTTTGCCTGTAGCTACTGCCCAGCCGCAGTACATTGCGGGCGGGCAGGAAGTGGTTAAGACTGAGAACATATTAATTACACATGTTCAGTGGCTGATTAACCTCTTCCATACCACCCTATAGCAGAAATACTGCTACAGTTTGGCATGGGTGCACAAAATCACATGTGTATATATACATGATTTTGCAGTTCCGGGTAGGGGGCGTGCACGCCCTACCCGTGCCACCATTCGCAGCCTTGGCTGTAAATCACTGGGTCCCGGCCGGTGATTCCCCAACAGCACCCGGAGATCACCAAGCATCTCCAATGGGGGAGAGACCTGTGTATAAACAATACAGATCTCTCCTGGCAGCTACTGCTTTGTATGGCTCTGCATAGCAGAGCCATACAAAGTAGTGTGCTTACAGTGAAACACAGCCTCATAGTAAAACAGCACACAGTTAACCCTTTGATCTCCCCAGATGTTAACCTCTTCCTGCCCAGTGTCATTAGTACAGTGTCAGTGCTTTTTATTAGCACTGATCACTGTATTGGTGTCACTAACACCAAGTCAGTTTCCCCCACCACCAGTGTCAGAATGCCTACCGCAGTCCTATAAGTCGCTGATCGCCGCCATTACTAGTAAGAAAAAAAAACAAAAAAAAATTTCAGTATATATACTACCATTTGTAGACACTATAGGTTTCACGTAAACCAATTAATTTACATGTATTGGGATTTTTATTAGCAAAGACATATAAAAGAATACATTTTGGCCTAAATTTATCAAGAAATGTGATTTTTAAACAGTTTTTTATTGGACATGTTTAATAGTGAAAAGTCAAAAATATTGTTATTTTTCTCAAAATTGTTGGCCTTTTTTTGTTTATAGCGCAAAAATAAAGAAAAAAACCGCAGAGGCGATCAAATACCACCAAAAGAAAGCTCTATTTGTGGGGAAAAAAGGATGTAAATTTCATTTGGGTGCAGCATTACATGACAACGCAGTTGCCAGTTGAAGTAACGCAGCGCCATATCCCAAAAAATGGCCTGGTCAGGAAGGGGGGTAAATCTTCTGGAAGGCAAGTCATTATACCAGATCTTTATTTTTAAAAAGTGGTAAATAATATACTCACAAAATAGCAAATGTCACAAGCTCATAGAAACAGCACAGTCTACTCCACAATTCGTCATGACGCATGACAGGGCAATAGGACCTTCACCATGCTAATGCGTTTTGAGGACTAGCCTCTTCCTCAGGCAGGAAGAAAAGGTGGTATTTGATCACCTCTGGGTTGTTTTGTTTGCTATAAAAAAAAAAAAAAAAGACCGAAAATTCTGAAAAAAAACCCTGGTATTTTCTTACTTCTGTCATTAAAAATATATAGTAAACTCAAACTTTTTTATAAATTTAGGCCAAAATGTATTTTTGCTATATGTCTTTGGTAAAAAATATACCAATAGGTATATTTTAACCGCTTCCCGTCCGTCCTATAGCAGAAATATGTGATTTTGCAGTTCCGGGTAGGGGATGCGCACCTTACCCGCGCCGCCATTCACGGCCTCGGCTGTCAATCATCGGGTCCTGGCTGGTGATTACTCAGGCTAAGGAAGTCGCTTGACAGGGCAATAGGACGTCCAACAGGCTAACGCGTTTCAAGGACTAGCCTCTTCCTCTTCTTCTTTTGCTGCCTGAGGAAGAGGCTAGTCCTCAAAACGCATTGGTTTGTTGGAGGTCCTATTGCCCTGTCATGATGACGAATTATGGAGTAGACTGTGCTGTTTCTATATTATGAGCTTGTGACATTTGCTATTTTGTGAGTATATAGTATAGTGAGTATACTAGTAATGGCGGCGATCAGTGACTTCTAGGACTGAAGAACTGTGGCAGGCATTCTGACACTGGGGGGGGGGAACAGACTTGGTGTCACTGACATCCCCTGTGACACCAATACAGTGATCAGTGCTAATAAAAAGCACTGATGACACTGGACAGGAAGGGGTTAACATGTGGGACAATCAAAGCGTTAACTGTGTGCTGTTTTACTATGAGGCTGTGTTGTGTTTCACTGTAAGCACACTGCTTTGTATGTATCTGCTATGCAGAGCCATACAAAGCAGTGTGAATGAGCGGATGGGAGAGAACTGTGTTGTTTATACATAGGTCTCTCCTGCGTCGGAGATACTTGATGATCACCAACTGGGACCCGGTATTTGACAGCTGAGGCTGTGAATGGCGCCCCCTGTATGTACGTGACCTTGCGCACCTGTGCCGCCCTGTAGCAATATTTCTGCTATAGGACGGCGTGGAAGCGGATAAGGATAATGCATTAGGCCAGTGCGCCCTCTGTTTTGGAGTTGCAAAAATGAATGGCACCTGTGTTAGGGTTGCCATCTCATCCTTTTAAAGGCAAAGCAGTGTGTCTCAGGCTAGGTTCACATATGTGCGGGTGGTGCCGCTGCGGATCCGCACACAAATCTGTGCAGCCTCACCACCCGCACAGAGGAATGCGGACCCGCGGGCAGGTGCCATTAATTCTATTAACACGCCGCCCGCACTGGGAACCGAGGTTCCTGTGCGGGCTTCATTTTCAGAAGAAGTGCAGGGACTTCTTCCCTGAGTATCCCAGGGCACGGGAGTCCATTCAAATGAATGGGCTCTCGTGCAAAACGCAGATATGTGAACAAGGGGTTAGACCCCACTGCTAATGAAGATTAATCATTCACCTGTCTCAAGGACTTGACTGCATCTATACAGGATTTTATGCTTCGTAAGGAATTAAGTGAGCACTGAGAAGTATTTATTATTTCAGGTACTTATATAGCACTGTCAGTTTACACAGCGCTTTACATATACTGTATATTGTACATTCACATCAGTCCCTAACCCTCAAGGGGTGTACAATCTAAGGTCCCTAACTCACATCCATTCATACATACACATATTAGGGCCAATTTAGACAGGAGCCAATTAACCTACCAGCATGTCTTTGGAGAGTGGGAGGAAACCAGAGTACCCAGAGGAAACCCACACAGGCACAGGGTGAACATGCAAACTTCAGGCAGGTGGTGCTGTGGTCGGGACTTGAACCAGCAACCCTAGTACTGCCAGGCAGAAGTGCTAACCATTTAGACACTGTGTTGCTAAGTATCTTAGCAGAAACCTATATACTGTGACCATTCAGCCAACTGGAGTGGACTTTGGATGTCTCATCATTATATGAAGACAGTGCTGGAGCCTGCTCTCTGCTCGGCCAGACAAAATGACACGTATTCACAGTGTCTTATGTCAAGACATATGTGTTTCTGCTTAAATATATAAGTGTTTATGCTGTTGTAGTGGCAGCCATAATTTCTGGTGAGTTTTCAATTAACTGGGAGATGGTGATGGCAGTTATTGATTGGAGTTGTTTTACTACAAGCAAAAGCACTTTATAGTGGTGGATGGACATAATTTCAACACATTTTTAATTAATTTTGGATTGCACCATTTTTTTTCTCACGGACATTTATTTGATATTTTGTAATATTTTTTGATATGCTTTAAATATTATATGTTTAGCGCTGCACTTCACATTTTTATGTCAATTAATTGGTTTACGTGAAAGTTACAGAGTCTACAAATGGTGTTATATATACTGGGCAGGAAGGGGTTAACATCTGGGGCTATCAAAGGGTTAATTGTGTGCTGTTTTACTATGTGTGCTGTGTGTGTTTTATTATGTAAGCATGCTGCTTTGTATTGCTCTTCTATGCAGAGCAATACAAAGCAGCATGCTGGCGCTGACGGGGAGAGATCTGTGTTGTTTACATACAGACCTCTCCCGTCAGTGTTCCTCTGCGATCGCCGGAGAATCTCCCCAGATGATTGACAGCTGTAGCCGCCAATGATGGCAGAGGTAGGGCAGCACATGCGCCACCTACCCGGAAATGCAAAATCATGTATATATACGTGATTTTGCGCAGCGCTGCCACCCTGTAGCAGTAGTTCTGCTATAGAGCAGTTGGGAACTGGTTAAGGATAATGCACTAGGCCAGTGCGCCCTCTGTTTTGTTTTGAGGTTGCAGTATTTCTAGACTTGCCCAGTCTTGTGAGGGCAGCAAGGCGAGAGCTATCAAGAAAGCCAGGTTTTGATTGCAGCCAACTATTATCTTTGGACCCACTCTCAAGTGCAGGAGTATTGGTGTTCTTTGTCTACTTGCCATTCATTTTTATTGGCACCAATACACATCCAGCACATGTGTTTGTGGCCACCAAAAGGCATGGTACTGCAGTACTATGTGGTTTGGTGTGATGCAATTTTAACAACCATGCCTACTATACTCTGTGTGTTCCCATGTGTTTAGCAGGCTATTGAAATGAATGGGCCTTTGAGAACACACAAGCACATAATGGTGTGAACCAGCCCTTAAGGTATAACTAAAAGCGAACCTTTTTCTTTTAGTTCTGGATAGAGTAGAGAGGGATTAAAACACCTATCAGTTTTTAATGCTGTCTGTGCCCCCATTATGGAGATGCAGCCTATTTGTCCTGTTTACTATTATCAAAAGTAAAAGACATCATAAAAGTAATAGAGGGTAAATCTTACAGTGGTGACATTAGTTATGCTGACACGCCAGGATTCCCTCACACTTCCAATGGGACAGGACGTGAACGAAAATCTCCCCAATGGGACAGGACACCTATGGGGAAAAAAACTGAGAAGGGCTATAACCCTCCCTTAGCCACTTGCCACCCTGCTACAGTACATTCACTGCAGCAGGGCGGCACGTGCAGGCTCAGTCATGTGCACATATATATATATATATATATATATATATATATATATATGGCTTAAAATTTCAAGTCCTGAGCTACTAGCCAGGCCTTAAGAGTTACTCACCACCAATTGCCCCACCCAACCCCTACCCTGCTACACCCCTAATTCCGCCCCTAAACACACCCTCATAAATTATTTCATGAAATTACACTATTAAATGTTACCCACATTACATCAGGGTCCCCAGAGTCCCCCCACATTACATCAGGGCCTCCAATGTCCCCCTAAACACTCCATCATATTTAGACCATGCACCGCATACAACCATAACCCCCCATAATCTTTCACTTACAAAACCATAATTCTACCAAGCATATCCTACCTACTATCCAACCCAGCAGTACCTCCAATGCCCCATACTCTACCACCCATAATAACCACATCATCCTGAACCTGACCAAACCACCCATACATGTAGGTTTACATACAGACACATGTACATACATACACACACACACACCTGTACACACACACACAGACATGTACATACACACAGAAACATGTACACACACGCACAGAGACACATGTATACACACACATACATGTACATACACACAGACACATGTACATACACAGAAATACACACATACAGACACATGTACATACATACATACACAGACACATGTACACACAGACACATGTACATACATACACACACACACGTACATGCACACACACATGTACACACACATACATGTACATATACACACAGACACATGTACATGCATACACAGACACACACAAACACACACACAGATACATGGACATACACGCACACACACACACATACAAATGCACACACGCGTACACACAGACACATACAAATACACACACACACACAACCCTAAAAAGTTGCAGTACTTCTTTACGTTCACTCACAGATCCGGGTACTGCACTCTAGGAGGAGGCAGAGAGCACAGTACACACTCCTTCCTTTGCTTTCACTTTGCTCAACTATTGAGCAGTCTGACGGCTCCCAGTGTGAGTGACAGATCCGGTCCCGAGTTCTGAGCCTGCTCAGCGAGACGACCCTGGGGACACACTCGCCCCCACCATAATTTCCACTTGCCAATGCGAGCAGGCGAGTGTAAATTTCAAGGCCTTATATATACAGTGCTCAGCATAAATGAGTACACCCCAACAGATTTGTCAGAAAACCTTTCCTTTCAGAATCATCATTTTCTATGGGACACTATACTACAACAAAATACTCCCACAAATAAGGGCCATTAAGAGCAAGCTCAAAGCTATTCATAAATTTAGGCTAACATGTATTCTGCTACATGTCTTTGGTAAAAAAAATCCCAATAAGTGTATATTGATTGCTTTGTGTGAAGGTTATAGTGTCTACAAACTATGGTATAGATACTGCAATTTACTCCATTTTTGCTATACAGTGCTGCACTAGTTTAACTGACAATTGCGTGATCATGCAATACTGTACATAAATTAAATTCATTTCCTTTTTTTCCACACAAATAGAGCTTTCTTTTGGTGGTATTTGATCACCTGTGCGATTTTTATTTTTCACGTTATAAACAAAAGACTTTATAAACAAAAAATATCCAAAAAAATCAAGTTTCATCATAAGTTTAGGTCAAAATGTATTCTGCTACATGTTTTTGGTAAAAAAATATCCAAATAAGTGTATATTGATTGCTTTGTGTGAAAGTTATAGCATCTACAAACTATGGTATAGATAATGGAATTTACACAGCTTTTACTTTCTGACTGTCTATCACATTACGTGAGGTGCTAAAATACCAGAACAGTACAAACACCCCCAAATGACCCATTTTCAGAAAGTAGACACCCTAAGCTATATGCTGAGAGGCATATTGAGTCCATGGAACATTTATTTTTTTCCCACAAGTCTTTGGAAAATGACAAAACATTTTTTTTTTACACAAAGTTGTCACTTAAATGATATATTGGTCACACAAGCCATGGGTATTTTGCAGATCTAATTTTTTTCTCACAAGGTTTTGAAATATAAAAAAAAAAAGAAAAAAAACGTGTTTCTGTTTTCTTTCTTCATTTTCCAAAAACTTGTGGCAACAAACGAGATCTGCAAAATACTCACCATGCTTCTTATCAAATTCCTTGGGGTGTCTACTTTCCAAAAAGGGGTCATTTGGGTGGATGGGGGGGGTGTTGCTATCCTTGGCATTTCAGGGCCTCCGAAACTGTGATAGGTAGTCAGGAAGTAGAATTCGGAAATAAAGCCCTTTAAAAGCCTAAAGGTGCATATTGGATTTTGGAGTCCTGTACTTGGCTAGACTGCCAAAAGGTCTCTCATGTGTAGCATCCCCATACTTGGGAGAAGTAGCAGAATGTATTTTGGGGATTAATTCCACATATACCCATGGCATGTGTGAGCAATAAATGATTCAGGTGACAATTTTGTGTAAAAAAAAAATATATATATTTTTTGTCATTTTCCAAAAACTTGTGGGAAAAAATAAATTTGTCTCTTGACTCAGCATGCCTCTCAGCAAATAGTTTGGGGTGTCTACTTTCCAAAAAATTTTGGGGGGTGGGGGCATTTTATGCCCAGCATTAGAAGTTTATTCCACACATCACTAACTCTTCTAACCACCTGAAGACCAAGCCTTTTCTGACACTTTTTGTTCACATGAAAAAAAAATCAGTATTTTTTGCTAGGAAATTACTTTGAACCCCCAAACAAAATATATATTTTTTTTTAATGTAGACACCCTAGTGAATAAATGGTGGGTGATGTAATTTTTTTATGTCACATAGTACTGGCGCAGCGATTTTTCAAACTTACATTTTTTAAAAAAATACACTTTTTTCACTTTTACTGCACTTTTTTTTAAGTTAATTTTATATTTTTTTATTATTTTTACACTGTCCCTTTTCATTTTTTTGATCACTTTTGATCACTTTGATCACTTTTAATCACAGAGAATGCAAATATCCCCTATAACTTCAATGGGCATTGTCATATATTCTTTTTTGAGAAATCTGTGTTCTATCAGACTCTAGATATCTCCTCTGCACTTACATTATCTATTCTCACCAAGATCGGTGTGATTAGATGCTTTCCCAATTTACAAATGGCGCTGTTTATATCCTGCAAAACTGAAGTGATGAAATGCTTGTAGCTTCCAATTTCTTAGACTATAGAGATGATTGGCACCATTCCAGTCTCCAATCAGCTCTATGGTCAGCTGGCAGAAACTCCGACTGCATTCTCAGGTTTCCCCAATGGCACGGGACTGCCCGAGAAGGCCTTGGAAGCAGCGGGGGAGGGTGGGCATCTTCTCTTGCTGCTTGTAAAAGCATCCTGCAGCTAATTAGCCACTAGGATTGCTTTTATATGAAAGCCAATCGCTGTTGGAAAAAAATGAGCAGCTGCAGGCATCATCCTGGTATAACCACTCAAAGTCCAGTGAAATACCAGTACATCGCTGGTCCTTGTTGGGTGTATATGCTATGTTCTTTTTTTTTTTTTTTTTTTTTATGCAGCCTGTGGGCTGAATGAAAAAAAGAGAAGAAATCTCTGCCAGAAAAAGTGTGTGGTATGCCCACCATTAGAATATTCCGCCCTGCATCCACCCACTTCTAATGGTGGGCACGCATGAAATGTGCCAAAAAATATTATAACATATATATGCTGAAGCATAGTTGCCATCCACCCACTGGCCATCCCAGGCCCCCATGCTTCGGCATATATGCTCTTTTTCTAACTGCAGATCAAAAATCTCATCCAACAGCGCTGCCCACACTGACTTTTATGTATATTCTGAGAGCAAGTTCCTATTGCTGTCAGAATAAACAGGTCGGTGCTGCAGCTGAATGACAAAGAAAACAGCAATGGTTAACAATAAAACAGTAAAATCGTAACAGTAGAACAGTAACAACAAGGACAACAACAAAAAAACTAACTATTTTTGGTTTTTAAATTTTTTTTCTCTTTGGAATTTTTTATTTTTTGGTTTCCTGACTACTAACATCTTTTGAGATCCTGTGTAAATATGTGCCTGAACTGTGCCATGCTGTACCCTACACTAATACTCCACTAGTGTATGGTAGCGACAGAAGCAGTCTTTGAGGCAGAGACCAGGTTGGCCAGGACAAGAGGGACAAAAAAAAAGT